CCAGGCCAGGAAATAGCAGAACTACCTGGATTTTCACCACTGCAAGAAGGCAATCACTGCAAAAGAGGTTGATGGCTCTGTGTTCCAATGTGTATAAGTCCCTCTGACCCATATCCTGGCTCTCAGCCTGGGACGACTGTCAGGCAGAAGGCATATATCCTGGGAGATCTGACCTGGCTCCATTCCACCTCTTCTCTGTCCTCTATCCTCTCTAGGTAGTAAAAGGGACTGGGGTACATGATAGTCCCTACCTTGGGACCCTGAATCATGGATGCAACTACTAATAAAAAGTCACTGGAAAAGTGAAAAACCAAAACCATTTAAACTGAACCTGTTAGTAGAGAGTCTGCCAGCTAAAGGCATGAAAAAGCTTGTTACTAGAAAATAAATAGTACGTAAGGCCTTATCTATGCGATCAAAATATACAAACCATACAGAAAATACTCATTTGTTTTGTTTTAATCCACCTATTTATAAGACCAGAGGGTTTTCTTTTGTTACTTGTGGTGCTCAGGATTGAACAAGTACTCTAACATTGAACTATACCCAACTCCCAAACTAGAGATTTTTGTTGCAAGTACTGTGCCAATAGGAAATATTAACAAGACCTAATAAACTAATGCATTGACTAAGGACTTCCCCATCAGCAAACTGAATATCAAAAACATTGGCTTTCCTCTCTTGTGGATGTTTGCTTAGAGACTTGTATCATTTACTTGCCTATACAGAGCATATTTGCTCTACAGAATCAACATTGTCATTACCTATACAGAACCCAAGTTCCTATTCTTCCATCTAGAAAAGACTCTGTTTTATTTAAGACAACAATGAATTCAACTTAATATGAATTCCACCACAGCAAAGTTTGGCCTTAGACTATTATTCTGACCAAAAGTTTTTAGAATTTTGAGGTTCGATCTTGGGGAAAATATTTTAAACAAAGAGTGGACCTCAGGTGTCACAACTTTGTTTCTGTGTGACAGGATCTCACTTATGAAGGCCAGATTGGTCTGAAACTTTCTCTGCAGTCCAGGCTGACCTTGAACTTTTGATCCTCTTGCTTCAGCCTCGCCTAGTCTGAGATTCCAGTTGTGAACCAACATGTTCTGCCTCCAATGGCACTATTTTAAGCATATGCATAGATACACAAACAAATGATAAAGGAGATAAATATTTACTCAGTAACTCCAGGGTATTATAACAAGTTTATGATCATGCCAACAAGTCAACAAAACTGGCAACATTTCATTTGCTACAAAATAGTATATAAAAACAAATGAATACAAACGTTTACTAAATTTTACTTAATGTTTTTCTGGGTACTTTTGAAAGACTGCTTTTGGTCCTTGAACAGCCCTAAAAAATCAGTGTTGTTAACCTTTAAAGAATATTACAAAGAATCAGAGTTGAGTTTTAGAGACCTAAATAGATACTGTATCAAATCAAATAAAAGCCAATCAGTTTCTTATGCAATATTTGTTTAGTGCCCTATTTTATGTTTGTTTTTTAGAGAAAGTCTCATGAAGCCCAGGCTGCCCTCAAGCTTGCTATGTAGTCAAAGCAGGCTGGGCTTACAGGCTTATGAGACTACTTCTGGTTTTATGTAGTGCTGAGGATCAAACCCAGGGCTTCATTTATGTTAGGCAAGCACTCTTATCAACTGACTACATCTCCAGCCCCTAGTGCCCTATTTTATATCTGCAGTTCATTTAACTAAAATGAATCAACTACCATTTTTGAATCATTGGGTCCTATTAAAAAACAAACAAACAAACAAACACTTACCTCTGTGCTGAAAGGAACCTTCCTTCCACTAGAATCACTAGAATGGAAATCCATCATAGTTTTTCAAAGAATGAGAGTTAAAATAAGACTAACTATCATATGCCTTGTTTGACTTATTGCAAGTTATTCATCAGGAAAACAGCAAATAGCTGCTCTAGAGTCTATACAATCATAGAGCCTTAATTCTCAGATTAGAAACAAGGCTTGGGACTGGGGAGATGGGCCAGTGGCTTAGAGAACTTGCTGTGTCTGAGTCTGAATCTCTACCACCCACAGAAGGGCTAGGCATGGCCACACATGCCTATGACTCTAGTGCTGTAGGGTAGAGGCAGATGGATCCCAGGATCTTGCTTGTCAGCCAGTCTAGCAAAAACCCAGCAAGATTCAGATTCAGTAACAGACCCTATCTCAAGGAAATAAGTTGGAGAAAAATAGAGGAAGACACTCTAGTCCTCTGGTTTCTGCATACTCATGGGTTTTCACATAGGCACATACATAGGCATATTATACACACACACACACACACACACACACACACACACGAACACCACAAAGGGATAAATAGATTTGGAAATGAAACAGGCTCAACCAGTACATAAAATGTCCTTCTCTCCCTTAATATACAGATCTAGATATTTTCAAATGTCTAGATCGAAATCTGATCTAGTTGAAATATATCTAGTTGGATATATTTCACTGAATATCTTTCAATTTTTAAAAACTAAACCCACAGTAAGGTCCACATTCCTCAAATAAGTTCATGAATCTCTGTTGTCTTCTCTTTTAGATTCAACTGACAAAATCTGGCATTTGCATTTGTCCCTTTTTCTTATGTGTTCCAGTAATTTTACAGTGCTAGACATAAAAATAATGACCAGTGATACTATTCTAAACACAGAGAATCTGAGGTGATCAAGAACCACACAAGCCTCTTAAAAATTGAAAGCATTGCTTGCTGCTAACCTAATTTGTGTGGGTCTTTCAGGCCACAGACTGATTTGTAATGCATATTTAATCCTTTAAAATAAGCTGGCAATTAAAAATGATAATTTAGCCCCAAACAACATAAGAATGAGCAAAACCAATATGGAGGTAGGATTATAGGGCCTAAAAACTCCCGAAGGATCACCATTTCATCTGTTGCTTTATAAAGTAGCAGTAAGATCACTGGAAGCATGCACTAATGGAAATATGCAAGGAAAATTAACAATTGGTTTCTAACAAATCAAATAATAACAAAACAGAAAACACTACAACTCTAAAACTCTTATTAGTCATTAGCCTCAAAATCCTCTGTTAAAGCCCCTTTTACAAGTTACTAGCAAAAATTATAAAAATTTTAGTTGGATATATTTCACTGAATATCTTTCAATTTTTAAAAACCAAACCCACAGTAAGGACCATATTCCTCATTCTGACCCAATGAACACACAAGCATGAACATCTTAATGTTCACTATTAACATATACAAAATCAAATATAAAGCTCTGATTAAAATGTGCACTGGGCATAGTGTTACAGGCTTGTAATCTCAGTGCTCAGGAGGCTGAGGCAGAAGTTTATCTGGCCTACATAATAAAAGCTGTCTCAAAGATTCAAAACTAAAAATATATACATATAGGGAGCTGGAGAGATGGTTTAGTGGTTAAGAGTGTATGCTGCTCTTGCAGAGGACCTGGGTTAGGTTCCCAGCACCTGTATTAGGCAATTCACAAACATCTATAACTCCAGTTCCAGGGGATATAGCCTCCCTGAGCAGCTGCACACACATGGTGCACATAAATTCATGCAGGCACACACAGATACACATAAATAATCTTAAATACACATACACACACACACACACACACACACACGCACTTAGATTAGCAACCTAATACTTATCCCAACAAATAGTTTTAATATTTCATGTGCTTAGTATTTGAAAAGCAATAAATTAAATAATGGCAGTGACAGATTATGACCCAAAAACCAAAGTAATAAGCCACAGATGCATAGTGGTATGATTAATATGTTGAAAAATAAGAGAGGAGGGTAGTATTTTCTTGTAACAGAATTCCAACAGAAAATGTAAAGTGAAAGATGGAATTAGGAAACCAATACTGGCAAACCATTTTGGTAATAACTGACTTAGTTACAAACCATCAATGAATGATAAAACAAGTACAAAATTTGATAAGAAATGGGACTTTTACATGGTATCTCCCTAAAATATATTTGCTAATAACAAAAAGAAAAATAGCAACCTTACAAAGTGGAGAAACCCTGGCACTTTTCAACAGAGTCATTAAGATCCTATTACCAAACTGGGACAGATCGACAATCATGCAACTTCTGAAAAAAAAAAGACAACTAAATGTATTGTGGGATACTGATCAGTTCCCAGGCCAGACACGTGTGTGTGTGTGTGTGTGTGTGTGTGTGTGTGTGTGTGTTTTACAAAGGACATTACTGGAACAACTAGTAAAATTGGATTAAAGTCTATACATTTGATTATACTATCATGTGAGTGCAAATTTCTTGAATGCCTTCATTTTTAGAAGATACAGGTGCACATTTAAACATTTATAAGTAATGGGTACCATGTTTGCAACTTATTTCCAAATGGTCCAGAAAACACCAACATACAGATAGATGATATAAATATGTCATAACGGTAATATTTGGGGACTCTGGGTGACAGGTATATGTGACTCTCTTATACTATTTTGCAACTTTTTGGTAAATACAAAATTACTTAAAAAATAAATATTAAGATAATGAAAACTAAGGGTAAACAAAACATTAAAAATAAGAAAAGAGATAATGACCAAATTATGGAGGCACATAATAGGTAGAATTTTGGCTTAATTATTAAAGTGCTTGAATCATCATTTTTCCCTTTTTCTGTGACAGAGTTTCCTTCTGGCTTGGAGCTCACTATGTAGCCTACATTGGTCTTGGACTCACAGCAATCCCTCTACCTCAGCTTCCTGGGTGCTGGGATTCCAAGTGTGGGCCACTATGCTTAGCCTATTATTGCTTTTGTCTAAGCATCTTGGGGTACCAGAAACATTTATTTTCTTCACTTCATTCACTGAAAAACAGACACATAGAAAAGCTCCTGAAATGTGGAAGTTGATCATGGAATGGAGAAAAGGAAAATTCTGTTTCTAAACTGACAGCAGACCGTTAAGATGTGACACAGCTAGACACAGCAGAAGATGTTTGTTTACCTTGCTCTGTTGTAAATCACTGGTTCATTTTCTTCCTGTACAGTTGTCAGCATATCCAAGTCATGGAATATTTTCTGCATATAGTCCAAATATTTATATCCTGAAGCTCTTTCTACTATGGCTGCCAGCAGGGTATAGCCAAAGGTTGAATACAAAAACTGACTACCTTGAGATATCATTGCAAGGGAGAGAAAATGCTTGATTATTATTCAAATATATGTAAAATACATTCCAAATGAAAACAGTCCTACCTGTAAAACTATAATATTTTACTTCAACATCTAGAATAAGGTCACAGGTGATCTATCAATACGCTGAGTTAACTGTGCTATGGTCATACTTATTCTTATTCTAGCTCCCTAATACAGGGCCGTCTCCCTGACACATGAACAACATGATGATCAGCAGTGGGACTGAAAAATTCACATGAAATTCACATAATTTTTGTATGAAAATGAAATAAGCCAATGAATTCTATCTAAAAACAAAACAAAACAAAATTCTACAAACCAGCAACCAAATAGGAAGGTGGAGAAATGCAAATGTGGTGTCTTGATCAGCTGTTTTTTTGTTTTTTTTCTTTTTGCAGTGCTCAGGACTAAACCCAGAGCCTTGTGCATACTAGGCCAGCGCTCTACCACTGAACCACATCCCTAGCCCTTGATCAATTGTCTTGTTCTCAATACATCTACTATCCACTGTTTAAAGCATAAATATGCACACAATTTCATATTTAAATAAATGTAGATATAAAATTTTTCAAATACATGTTTAAATACAAATAAATATACATATGTGATTTCAAATACATAATTATATCACTTCAGATTCTAGAAACTTAAGATTTTATTATCCAATCTAAGAATAGGTAGAAACCTTATTTTTAATTTTTTTTTTGCGGGGGAGGCTTTTTGAGAAAGGGTTTCCCTATAGCCCCAGCTGACCTGGAACTCACTACGTACACCAGGCTGACCTCAAATTTACAAAGATCTGCCTCCTGAGTGCTGAGATTAAAGGCATGTGCCACCACACCAGGCCTAAAATTTTTACTTATTTAATTAATTATTTATTATTTACTTATTTATTTATTTACTTATTTATTTGTATGAGTGTTCTCCCTGCATGCATGTAAGTGCACCTGTGTTGTACAGTGCCCACAGAGGTCAGAAGAAGGTGCTGGATCCCCTGCAACTAGAGTTAAGGATGGGTGTTAGCTGCCAATGTGGGTGCTGGGAACTGAACCTGGGTCCTCTGCTAGACCAGCCAGTGCTCTTAACTGCTGAGCCAAATCTCCAGCCCCAGAAAACTTATTTTTTAAAAAAATATTTTATTTTATATATATGAGTATATTGCCTGCATGTATGTAAGTGCACCCATATGAGTATATTGCCTGAATGTATGTAAGTGCACCCATGTCATGCAATGCCCATGGAGGTCAGAAGAGGGCATTAAATTCCCCTGGAACTGGAGTTACCAACAGTTGTTATTTGCCATGTTGGTGCTGGGAATTGAACCCAGGTCCTCTGCAAGAGCGGCCAGTTGCTCTTAACTGCTGATCCAACTCTCCAGCCCCCAGAAAGCTTATTTTTAAACACAAAATCCATAATTATATTTTCATTCTCCTTATGTCCATATGTCCTTACATCTATATAATATTGATTCATAGTTAAATGTGTCTGGCCTAGGGACACACAAATCTTTTAAAGATTTGTTTTATTTTTAATGTTGTATATGTGGGTATGCACACATGAGTGTAGGTGCCTGTGGAGGTCAGAAGAGGGCACTGAATCACCTGAAACTGGAATTACAGGTGGCTGTGAACCACCTGACCTGGGTTGTAGGAACACAGCTTGGGTCCTCTGCAAGAGCTCTACTAGCTCTTAACTACTACTAGTACTACTAGCTCTACAGCCTCTAAAACAGCTTTTAAAATCAAAGCATCAGTGCATAAATCTATGATAAATTTAAAGATATTAAGGAGTTTTAATAGGCATCATACAAACACACAAAAATAAAGCCTATGGTGATGCACACTTGTAATGCCAGCACTTGAGAGCCTGAGGTAGGAAAAGCAAGTGTTTGAGGTCAGTCTGGACTATACCATGAGTCGCTGTCTCAAAAGACAAACCAATTATTTTTATAGATTAGCTTTTGGGGGGAAGTAAATGTAGGTTGGTGAACATTAGCTCCTTAAGGGAATAAAGGCATAAAGTAAACTGAGCATATTGAATCCTAACTAAGTGCAAACACACCAGCAACATCCTAGATGCCCATCCTAGATCAGGTTTTATTTGGAGAACTATTATTCCATCAACCTCCACAATTTCCCACTAATATCTTGGTACTGAAAATCTTCTAAACAACTGGGTAGCCTTACATGAAATCGAAACACCTAACTGTCTGGCTTCTAGTTCTTTTTTTTTTTTTTTTTTAAGCAACTATAGACAAAAATGCAGCTACTGGGTTTGGGAAATAGTTCCATGAGTAAAGTGCATGGATCTGAGATTGAACCTCACAACCCACATAAAAAGGCCAAGCATGGTGGCATGCATTTGTAGTACCAACGCTGGGGGTGCAGAGATAGGCAGATTCCCTGGAACTAGCCAGCCAGCCTAGCCTAATTGGTAAGCTCCAGGTCAATGGGAGACCCTGCCTCAAAAAAACAAGGTGGGGCTATCAGGATGGCTCAGTGAGACAAGGCACTTGCTACCAGGCCTGTTAACCTGAGATTTATTCCTGGGACCCACATGGTAGAGGAGAGAAGCAACTCCTGGAAGCTGCCCTCTGACCTTCACATACATGCTATGGCATGATGCACATACACACATATACAATAAATGAAAGGAAAAAAAAAACAAGGTGGACTGCTCCTGTGAAATGATTCCCAGGTTGTCCTCTGGCCTCTATGTACATGTGCATAGGTATGTATGAACACACATATATATATATATATATATATGTATTTATACCCACATACACATACATACATATAATCATCAACCTCACTGAAAATAGTTGGAATGATACCACATGATATTTAATTTCCTGAAAAAAATACTTCAATAATAACAACTTTGTTAAGAGAGGGAGTTAACACTCACCAGGTTTAAAGAATAAAGGATCATTTTTAAATAATCTTAGGGATTCTATTGAATTTTCAAACTTTTCTTTCAAATATAATTCGCCTTGTTCAAAATCATTTTTTTTCTTGCTCGGTTTTGAATTTCGGCATTTGGTTTCGCTGTCTGGCTCCATTTTAGCTTTAGAGGGGTCAGTCTTTTCATTACTTTTGCCTCCCTTTTCTCTTGGTTCTTTTTCTTGGTCAGATGGCACAGTCCCTTTCATCATCTTCAGGGCCTTAAAAGCCTTCTCTTCTTTCACTTTTTTCACGTCCTTTTCATAATGACGAATTCCACTTAAATGGGAGATCAGTAATCTTGTTGTGACAGAAACCTAATTGCAAAAAACAGGAAAATTCAATTACAGCATTAAACTGTACAATAATAAGTGGACGGTCTTGGAATGAATGCCCAGTCATTTTCTACATTTTGAACTACTGCAAGGAAAATATCATGTACAGATTCTTACCCTAAATTTCAGAAAAACACCTAACAGATTATCAACTAGATTAAGAAAATATATATCAAACACTAAATGAAACCAAAGAATTCAATGAAATATTTAAAACATAAATTCCAGCATAAACCATGCAACATACCATTGGACAAATGAACTGTGAGTTTCACTACCTTTTCACCTTCATATTCTTTTTCTGGGAACTCAGGAACATAATGTTGAACGGGGAGATCCAGATTCAGTTTTCCTGCTTCCCAAAGTTTGGCCAGAGCAACCATGGTGAGGCTTTTGCTGATGCTGGCGATTCTCATGACTGTTTCTGGTTTGCATGGCACCCGGTTCTCAATGTCTGCATAGCCTAAGCCTTTGAGGGAAATGAAGGAGAGTCTTCATGGCAAACCAAGCTTCTGAGAACTAAACTAATAGCATTGTAAAACACACCGTGTATTGACCTAAGGAAATGATATCCCACTTCTATTAGACACTTAATGTAAGAAATGTAAGTACAAGAATCAGCAACACTGTTGATGGTAAGCCTAATGATTTTGCTTTATAGCTAAACTCAAATTTTTCTTGGTTCCCAACAATTTTCCATCTGATATTTTCAGATTTTAGTTTTTCTTAGTTTATTACAACAATTTGATTATTTCAGTTTTTGCAGTTTACAATTTTTATGCATATGAGTGTTTTGCATGCATGTATGTAAGTGCACCCAAACATGCAATGCCCGTGGAGGTCAAAAACGGGTGTTGAAAACCTCTTGGAACTGGTTATGGACAGTCGTTAGCTGCCATGTGTGTGCTGGGAACCAAATCTGGGTCCTCTACAAGAGTAGCCAGGGATCTTAACCACTGAGCCATCTCCCCAGCTATCTTCCTTTTTATTTACTTGTATTCGTACAACTGTTTTGTTTGACTGTCTGTATACTGTGTGTGTGTGTACCCACAGAGGCCAGAAGAAGGCAATGGAGTTGCCCTGTGGGTGTTAGGAATTGAACTGGGGTCCTCTAGAAGAACAGCAAGTACTCTTAACATCTGAGTCACCTCTTCAACCTCCTAATCCCCTGCCCCCACCTCTTTTGTTTTTGTTTGTTTGTTTTGAGACAGGGTCTTATTATGTAGCCCAGGTTGACCTTGAACTCAGGATACTCCTGCCTCAGCCTTCCAAGTGCTGGGATTGCAGGTATGCATCATCAGTCATGTGATGATTTACTCCACATTTTAAATTAATTACATTCTTAAAGTAAGCATCACCATTCTCCATAGTGTATCTTGATTTTTTTAATGTTTCCAGTGGATTCTTAAAATAGCCAGCAAATAAAATGAATATGAAAACACATCCTGTAAATCAAATTACCCTACTAGCTCAATTCAGGAGCAAATCAGAGGAAAAATTTGAATACAATGCTAATTTATTAAAACTCTTTCTAGAAAAAAATTGTTTGGTTTTCTTCTTCTGTACAAGGTGAAAGTGTGTACTTTAGATATGAGATATATAAAGAACGAAGTCTGAAAATAGCAAAAAAATATGAGTTTTTAAAACTGTATTATGCTAAAAATATTTATAAGTTTTCACTAGTAGAGCTGACATTCTTTTTATTCTCTCTCTCTCTCTGTGTATGTGTGTGTTCTCTCTTTGTGTGTGTATGTGTGTTCTTTCTCTCTCTCTCTCTCTCTCTCTGTGTGTGTGTGTGTGTGTGTGTGTGTGTGTGTGTGTGTGCGCGCGCACTACTATGGAGGTTAGAGAGCAATTTACAGGAGATGGTTCTCTCCTTCCAGCATATAAATTCCTAGAACTGAACTCAGGGCATCAGGCTTGGTGACAAGTACCTTTACCAACCAAGCCATTTCACTGGTTTGGGGGTGTTTTTGTTGTTGTTATATTAGTTTGGGTTTTTTTGTTTTTGTTTTTGTTTTGTTTGGTCTTTTTGAGACAGTCTCCCTGTAGCCCCAGCTGGCTTGGAACTTGCTATGTAGACCAGGCTGGCCTAGATATCACAGAGATCCGCCTCCCCCTGCCTCCAGAGTGCTCAGATTAAAGGTATGTGACACCACATCTGGCTCTGTTATGTTTTTTGAGTCAGGATCTTCCTATATCTATCCCAGGTTGGCCTCAAACTCATGGTAACCCTTTTGCCTCAGTTCCTGAGTACTAGGATGGTAGGCATATGCTATCATGCCTGGCTTGTTAAATTTTTTATTACAAGCTTTTCCATGTTAGGCATATTCATTAGGCTACACTCATATCCAAAGAATAAGATTTCAAAACCCCACTGCTGTCATCAACTTCTTCTCAAACTACTACTTTCTTAAAATATCTGAAATGTCATTTAAAAAGTAGGATTACTAAAAGCCTGGGTGGTGAACTGCCACAATTTCTGTGCAATGGAGATGTTATATTATGAAACAGTGCTTTGGTAAAAGTGTCAAAAAATGATTAGAAATGCCTCTCCTAAAGCTTCTAGCTTTCTTAAAAATATTTTATTTTCATTTCATTTATGTGTATGTGTGTGTCTGTATGAGTGTATGCCACATGTGTGCAGAGACCCTGGAGTTGGAGTCACCATACACATGGGTACTTGGAACTTAACTCTAGTCCCTGTGCACTAGCAGCACGCACTCTTAAGCCATGGAGCCATCTCCCCAGTTCTTTTTTGGTCAGGGTCTCATGTAGCCAAGGCTGACTTGGAACATACTTACATGACTTTGAACTGATTCTCCTGCCTCCATCTCCTGAGTAATGGAATCACAGGTCCTCACCACCATGTTTGGTTATGTGGTGCTGGGGAATCTTACCTAGGGCTTTGTGCATGCTAGTCAAGCACTCTACCAAATAAGCGACAACCCAAGCTGCCTTCTCTAGCTTTTCATTAGAATAAAGTTAACACTGTCAGTAAAAAGAAAAGATTGTAAAATTATTAAGGACAGGGACAGTGTGTCCTTTTAGAGACTGGGAATCAATAAACTGAATTTTAAAAATGCAGAAAATTTGATGTTTTATTTATTCATAAGTGCTATGTAAAATATGCAATAGTGGATATTTAATGAATTGTTAATGGACTGTTCTACAAGTAATTTTCAGACCAGCAAGTTCCGTTTTAAGAGTAAACTGTGAGAAGAACCAATCCATTTTGAACAATCCTATTATTTGAGTCACATTTTCATTATTTGGTTTTGGATTTGAACCCAGGACCTCACACATTAAGCAAGCGCTTCCCACTGAGCTGCATGCCTAGCCCGATTAGTTGCATTTTAAACTTTGCTGTGATAAAAAAAATCACCTGATTAGTCTATGGATACTTTGTCTTCTATATATCACTTTATATAATCTGAGTAGGAAAGCAGTTCTTGGGGTTCAAACATGAATATTTTATTTCACCAAGTAGTATAAAATGAACCCACCTTCTGACCAGACTTCTTTTCCATCTACAGAAACTCCAACCACTATACCTGGCGCGCCAACCTCGTCCTAAGAGCAGAGGAGAAAAAAGATCAAGTAGTTCAAAGAAATTTGAAATACTCTTGTACACATGGAGGCGCCCCGCCCTTCAGACCACGCCCATTCCTGGAGTGACCCGCCCATCCCCGGGGGCCCCGCCCACCCGTCACCGGCTTTGCTCGGTAGGCAGCAGCCGGAGGAGGGGTATGCCAGGCCCGCTCTCCGGCCGGGAAGGGGCGGTCCCCTCCGCGGTCCGTGACCTCAGCCCCGACTTGAGCAACCCCGAGAGCGTCAGCCTGCGGCCGGACGGTCGGGAAACGGGAAGTCTTTCTCGGAAGCCGCCACCCACCGGGAGACCAGTAGGGTCTGGGGTGACCGGGTGGGCGCAGACCCCCGGCGCCGCACCTTGATCCTGTGCAGCAGGTCGCGGCTGCTCTCTATGGCTCTGGTGAAGCACCTGGAGCTGGGCGGTGGCGGGCTGTGCGGGCTCCCAGGCCCAAGGGCCTGCTCCACCCGCGGCTCGGCCAGGGAGGACGCCTCGGGGTCCGCGGGCGTCTGAGCTGGGGCTGCGCCCCGCAGTCCACCCGCCAGCTTCGCCCCGAGCGCCAGCCCCAGCCCAAGCCCCAGGCCCGCGGTCCAGCCGGGGCCGAGCGGGGGGAGGCCGGCTTGCCCGTGTGTCCCGCGGCGTCCCCTGTCCCGGGCCCGGCCCCAGGCGGTCGCGGCCCCAGCCCGAGCTGTCACCGCTGACAGCAGCCGGTACATAGTGTCTCTGAGCGCGCAGCCTCTGCTCCAGCAGGCTCTGCCGGCGGCCAGCGGCAGGAGGGGCGGGGCCTCGCAGACCTGCGCAGTGGACAGCAGACTGCCGAGCGCCGAGTGCCTCGAGCGCCTCAGCCTCCTTCTCTGCGTAGTCCCAATATGAGTACTTGTTCATCTTCCTTTCTTCTTTCCTTTCTCCTTCCCCTTCCTCCCTCTCATCTTTTTCCGTTCTGTACTTCCTTTTTCTTTCTTGTTTTCTTTCCCTCTTTTCCGTCTCTCCTTTTTCTTTCCCCTCCTCTCTTATTTCTATTTCCCTTTCCTTCTTCCGTCCTTTCCCTTCTTTCTTTCCCCCTCCTCCTTCTCCTCCCCCTCTCCCTCCCCCTCCTCTTCTTCTCTTTCCCCCTTCTCTCCCCCTACACAGGTGACAGTTCTCAGCCGATTGCAGTGTGAGTCACCCGAGGTCAGGTACGCAGCACTTCTCAGATGCTGCTCACAGGTCTCCATCAGAAGCTGGCTCACCTGGGAAAAGCCACATCAGCACCCAGCCCACCCCTGTTCCACCACCCACCGCAGGCCCACCTGCATCTCACTTAGGAGGTAGATGTGCTGGTGGTCAGGGCTGAAGAATAAATCTCAGTATGGGGCTTGTCTCCACCACAGAGACTGTCTCATACAGCTGCACATCCTGAGAGTGAAAGCCTCTACAAATGTGCACACCTTAACAGTGCTTGACCCTGTGCATCATTGATAGTGTTCTCAGCTTCTAGCACAGGGCCTGACACACAGCAGGTACTCAACAGACATCTTTTCTCTCAATATTCTTTTTTTCTCGGCATCTCCCTTTAGATCTCTTTTCATCTCCTTCCATTCCCTTAAGATTGGAAAAATAAATAAAGCTCTTCCTTCTGGAGTGTGTTATGTTCTGGTGGTTGCTTTGGATTAAGGAGGAGATGAGGCAGGAAGGAAGTGTTCTGCATTTTGACTGTATCTTTGTCAGTATCCTGGTTATGATGCTGTAGTACAGTTTTATAAGACCTTACCATAGGTAAAGCTGGTTAAAGGCACGTAGGACCTCCCTGTCTTATGTCTTAGAACTACTATTAACACAAAATGTTTAATTAAAGAAGAAGATGCAACATGCATTAGGATGAATATTCTGAAAATCAATCACATAAATCTCCTACTCAAAATCATTAGGCACCCTTTATCAATAAGAGAAACCCAGACTCCTGTGGCCAGGGGGAGACCTTAAGTAGCACTGAGTCATCTCATCTTTGATGAGAAGAGCTCATCATTATTAGACTATTACTATGTGCTGGCTGACTTATACACATTATTTATTTATTTACTTTTAAATATTTATTTTATGTGTATGAGTGTGTTGCACCTGTAAGTGCACCCTTATGGTGCAATGCCCATAGAGGTCAGAAGAATGTGTCAGATCCCCTGGAACTGGAGTTGCTAGCCACCATGTGGGTGCTGGGGATTGAATGGCCCTCTGCAAGAGCAGCCAGTACTCTTAATTGCTGAGCCATCTCACCAGCCCCGTTATACACGTTATTTAATAGCAGGAATTATCTCCTCTATAACTCAGAAAACCAAAACTAGAATGGTTAAATGGCAGAATCAGGATTTGAATCAGGATCCATCAAGCTTTTCTGGGAATCTGCAAAAAGATTCAGGCAAATTAGTCTATGTTCCATGTTAAGACTTACAAAGGATGACCTGCAAGATAGCTCAGCAGAGAGTGGTACTGCTGCCAGGCCTGAGGATCAGAAGAACATGGTAGAAGGAGAGAACTGGCAAGTTTTCCTCTGACCTCCACATGTTGCAGTGGCATACACACACACACATTATTTGCAAAGGGAGGATGGCCACAACTCTACATCCTCCATAGTAAGGTGACTGGGCATTTTAAATATGCTATCTTCATAGACTGCTCTCTTTGGTTCTATTTTCAAATGGGAACTAAAGAGCCAGAGTTATTAAATAGAACTTCAAAGTTGGAAGCTATATTAAGCACTGTCAAGTGTGGTGGTTTCTGTGAGACCAGGGATTGGGCAATGTGTCAGCCTACTTTTTCACTTATAATATGGGATGGGGTCCTAGCATTTAGTAGAAGAGGAGGCCTGGGATCGTTTTGAAAGTCCTATAAGCTGTGAGCCTGTTGAACTGTCAGATTCTCTCAGCAAGCAAACTGTAGCCAGACTTCTCTCAGCTCTCTTCCAGACTAGGCCTCAGCCTTGGCCCAACAAACACTTGAACAAACACATCTTTTCTCATAGCTCAAGGCTGCATTGCTAGAGTGACCCTTTCTTCCCATAAAATGCCTGGCTGAGAAAACTCAGAGTTTCCAAAGGAAGTTAGTGTTTGTTCCAGTCACCATCTGAAGATAGAGCCCATGTCTCCCAGTACCTGCGGGAGGGTAGGGGCCTCATTTGATAAATGATAAGCACCAGTTTGCAAGGTGGATAGAATTCATGTGGAACAATCCATTTCCTGCTTCTTGTGATTTTCCACTTTCCTGACTCTGCTCAAGCTGTCCATTCATTCTGCCTTTTCCCACCAGGTCACCTCTATACACAACCCAGCGGAATTTTGTTCTTTCCCTGCCATTGGTAGCTATGGAATACAGTCTGTGTCAGTGCTTTAACTAGTGTCCAGTTGTGTTTGCCTCTGTCACACACATCAAATAGTCCTGTCTAAAATGTGGCCCTTGAGAAACAAACACTTGGTTTCAAAGCAAAGTTTTCCTAGGTGCATTCACTTTGTGGTTCATGGAGTTGTACACTTGGAATTTGTGTAATTTTCTGTCTGATACTCTAATGCAAAAGTTTATAACACAATTAAAACCTAAAAATGTTGATGAGGGAAATATTTACATAATAAAATTGATATGATGTTTAGGAAATATTAGTATGGTATTAAGTAGAAAAGGCAGCACATTTTGACTTGCATGGCAACCAGACAAACATGCATGAAGAATGTGAAGACAGAGGAATAGGAATTTGGTATATTAACAGGTGAGACCTCTTTGACAAGGCCAGTATGGTTTACATAGCAAGTTCCAGGCCAGCTGGGGCTACAGGGAGACCCTGACTCAAACAAACAAACAAAAGAAGATGTTCAAAGTCATCCTTGGTTATACAGTGAGTTTGAGGCTAGCCTGGGCTACATGAGACCCTGTCTCAAAAAATAATATTCTTTTTTTAAAAAAATTATTTTTGTTTTATGTGTATTAGTGCTTTACCTGAATGTATGTAAGTGTACCACATGCATGCAGTGCCCCCAGAGGCCGGAAGAGGGTGTCATATCCCCTGGAACTGAAGTTGTGGATGACTGTTAGCCACTCTATAGGTGCTCAGAATCAAACCCAAGTCCTCTGGAAGAGCAGCCAGTGCTCTTAATTGCTGAGCCATCTCTCTAGCCTTCTTTGTTTGTTTGTTTGAGACAGGGTCTTATTTTGAGATCCTGGGTAGCCTGGAACTACCATGTAGACCAGGTTGGCCTTGAACTCATAGAGCTTCACCTGTCTCCTAGGTGCTGAAATTAAGGCATGCATCACCACACCCAGAAAAAAAAAAAAAACTTAAATGGTATACTTTATTGATATTTAAATGAAATACAACTACACATAATTAAGGTATTCGACTTGATAAGCTTTGCTGTGTGCATATACCTATGAAATCATGAAATCATTACTACAGTGAAAATAATGAATATGTCTATCCCTTTCTTTTATCCTTTTCTTCTTCTCTAGCAGCTCCCCTGCCTCAACTACCAATCTATTTTCCTTTATTATAAGCTGGTTTGCATTTTCTAGAATGTTTACCTATGAAGTCACATATCATATTCTTTGTAAAGCCTGGCTTCTTTCACTCAGCATAATTATGAAGTTAGTGCATGCTCATACATGTATATGCAGTTCATTCCTTTTTTCTTTTCACTGATGAGTAGTGCTGTGTGGCTGTAACACATTTTGTTTATATAGCTGGCTTACTCCAGTTTCAGGTTATTACACATATAGCTGCTACAAACACAATTTATTGTGTAAATGCACATTTTCATTTCTCTTAGGAATAAACCTCCAAGTGGAATTGCAGAATCATTTCAAAGCTCCGTGGTTAATTTTTGAGAGTCTTTCGGACTGTTTTCCAAAGGGCAGCATAATTTTGCCTGCACACCAGTACTGCATGAAGGTTCCAATTTCTCCACATCCCACCAACATTGTTCCTTTGTTGACAGCCATCATTTCTCCAACAGCTAATAGTCTTGAATTTAGTGGCCATTTGGAGATTTTTTTTCAATTATAAATGTTTTTTTTAAATATTTTTTTGAGATTGGGTCTTACTATATAGCCCCAGATGGCCTGGAACTTGTTATATAGACCAGGCTGGCCTCAAACTTGTAGAGATCTACTGCTTGTTTCCTGAGTGCTGGGATTGAAGATGTGTGCCACCACACCTGGACTAAAATTACTTTATTTATGGCAATGCAGTTCACACATTAACTAGCACTATAATAGATGAATTTTCTGGGGCTAGGTATGGTGGCACACACCTTTAGTCCTAGCACTCAGGAGGCAGAGGCAGGTGGATCTCTGTGAATTCAAGACTAACCTGGTCTGCATAACAAGTTCCCGGCCAGCCAGTGGTACATAGTGAGATCCTGTCTCAAAGCAAGCAAGCAGGCAAACAAACAAAAAATAGAATGATTTGTTTTATAGAAGAAAAAGTGGAAAATTTTTGAGGTTAGAAAACCCCTACCCCTAAAACAAAAATTTTAAAACATCATTTTTTCTTTTTTAAAATCGATTTATTTAT